AAAGATGGAGATTTTCATCATCTTCTGCAGTCTGCTGCAGACATTCAAGTTCACTCCACCAGAAGGAGTTAAGGAAGTCAACACAGACGTTATCTTTGGGAGCACAATGAAACCCCATCCCTACAAGATCTGTGCAGTTCTTCGCTAGGTTGCAGGGTATTACATATTTGAGAAAGAGGCATTGCCACAAGTTTGCTAGTGTGCTGATCTTTTGTGCAGCTTCTATGATTTTCATTTCTAGCTCAAATTCAGTGTGAATCTGTCCTTGTTGTGTTACATGACTAAGAAGCCAGCCCTGAAAATACTCTGTTTTTCCCATATCTGGAAAAATCTCTGTGCATTATTTTTTTTCTGCTGTATTACAAATGAAATAAACAGAAAATTGTTACGGTGCCTGGTCTTACTGGAAACTCAACAGGAATCTTACTGGAGGGAGAACAAACATTAAAGCCAGGTGTTGGAGGTCTTCCCATCATTCCCATGTATTCCCATATCTAGAGTGGGGTGGGTATAGAAATACTCTTTTCAGAGGTGGTGGCTCTGGGCGTTGCCAGAGCCCCAGCTATGGTTGCTATGGGGGAATAGAGTTGTGGAGTGATGCCTCAACTAGGTGTGCACCAGCTGCTTTGCTTATTTAGCTGAGATCCATGTGGAGATGATGGCTTGAATCTGGAAGTAACAGAGCTACAGCAGTGCAACCCTTCGTTTGTGTGTGATGCTGGTGACTCAGGCCGAAAGTGAAGGCAAACCCTGTATATTCTGTGATGAAGAATGGCAGAGGGGACCTTCACTGCTGGTGGAACAAAGTGGGTGTAAATAGTAACAGACCAGTGGGCTGGCCTGAAAAAGTTGTGGTTTTTTTGCGTATGTTGCTGTGGTGTGTTTGAGAGGTGTTTCTATGAAACAGTGTCCTCTCACACAGTGGAGTTTTGTCATGATAATGGCGTACAGCAATCTAGGTCAACCGTGTCTCTCTACTGATGCTTGAAAGCACAGTTAAGGGGACTGCTTGCAGTCTTGTGAAGCAAAGCTTGGTGCCTGCAAAGGAGGGACAGGGCAGGAGAAATGTATGTAGTGTTTCCCAAGAGCTGTGTGAGAATCAAACTTCTTGAGAGTTTTCTATGAGCACGGGGCAGTTGCACACAGCCTTCCAACCGCTGAGCTAAGGGACACTTAGCAGAGCTGCTGAGTTGAGAGTGCCTGTCAGTAAGGCACGCACACCGTGGGGAAGATCTGTGCAAGATGTGGCTGGCAGAAGCAGGAACAGTGCCCAAGCAGAGCTAGTGAAGAGCCAGTGCCAGAAACCAGTCACACTGTGAGGCTTGCCTTGCTACCCAGCAAGATCTAAAAATCAAGGCCAGAGCAAGGGCTACTAGTGGATGTAGCAAATATCTGTTGCTCTACCAGTTTCCTTCCCTGAGGAAAAGACTTTACAATTGTTACTGCAATTATACTTCAAGGATTAGTTGTCACTGCCTTGTTTATCCACCATGTTAGACCTTGTTTTCTTTCATGTAGTGCTGTCGGTTAAAAAAATTTATTCATTTTCGTGAAGGAGCTCCATATCATAAGGTTCAGTACCCTTTTCTCAGGCTTCTGGTTAGGGGCTCAAGTGGACGCTTTTGTCATGACTCACATAGATTTGAAGATGTTGATGTTCATCCCTCTCAGATGGTATCTAAACCGATGTGCTTTCCTAGCATCACTCCTCAGGGCAGGGCGGCAGGCAGGTGAGATATGGAACATGCCCTGAAACCCTATTATTAGCCTGGGAGTGTGAGCTCCCTTGCTGAACAGCTGCCTCTAGTACTTGCCTGGCAGATGCCCTAGCAGCTGTATGTTTTGAGAGTGGGAGGTGGTGATTGTTCCTGAAACTGAATTTGGGGCATGGAACATAAGTAATGGGGTGCATACAAGCTGCCATGAGGCTGGTGTAGGACACAGGCCACAGCATGTTTCAGTTCAAATGCCTAAGTAGAGGGCAAATGGATCCTTTTCTCTGAGAGCTGAAAGGAAAGGGGGAGAGGAGAATGGGCCAGCAGCTCTCATGAGGAGAGGCAAAGGAGGAGGATTCTCTGGTAAGAGGGATACCTTTCTGTTCTGCTGCCCTGTCAGCCAGCTCTAACTTCTGCCTCCCTAAAGATTCAATTCACAACCACAGAAACTGTGGCAAATACTTAGAATCATCAGACTTCTCTCTTCCCTGTCTTCCAGCACCATCTCATATGAAGAGGAAAGCGAGTTGTATTCCCTTTAACACCTTCTCCCAAAGGCATTGCAAAGCTGTTTGGCAGCCACCTTTCTAAATGCAAGTAGTTCATGTCTAGGCTGTGAGGTGCAATCACCGGAACATGGCTAATATGTGTGGAAAAGTTGGAGTGAGCCTGGAGAGCCAGTGGAGATGCAGAGAGACCAGCCAGGATTGCTCCGAAGGGATGGAGGGGCCAGACGAGGCTGCAAGTGGGCGAGGTAAGCAAGCCTTAGGGGCCGTGAAGTCATTCACATCCCTTCTCCCAGCAATACGTGTGGAATCTGTTACTTTTTTGTTCACCCTATGAGAGTAACAACACTGGGGAAAAGCCTCACTGATAGGTCTTGCAGTTCATGTAGCATAGGTGCCCTGGGCCAGAAACCATATGGAGCCTGTCAGAGATCGTGCCATTCAGGACTCATGTGGAGCCTGGGCTGATCCTCTTGAAGTCTCCCGCTGCCACTATCCGATGTGAAAGGCTTTGCAGGCTATCCTTGGAGATCTTGAGCATGACTTGTGGTGGGCTTGGTCCTCATGGTTGGGCTAAAACCCACCCAGGAAAGGCTGGGGCATGAGAATCTGCAGGACAAGAGCTGTGTCCATGAACGTGGGTGTGGGTTGTCCAGATGGTGAAGCTGTGATACCAGCCGCTGTGCTGCCCCTCTGCATGCAAGAGTTGGGCATCTGCAGCTGGTGTTTTCTCACACCCCCAGGATGAAAATCCCACTAAGTTAAGCACTTCTGGATGCCAAACTGCCAGTCAACCAGGGCTAGAGCAATTGCCATGACAAAAATCTTTGGGAAATCACTGTCCATGTTGTTTTCTTCACAGAGAATATCCAGGCAGGACAGAGTCGTTTGGAGTGGCGTCCCAGACAGCCGCCACAATCACAACTGTGAGTCTTCCTTCTCCCAAAGAGACTTTGGAAAATACTGAATTCAGAGTTGTGAGTGGTTTGAGACAGCGAAAAAGGCAATGCCACAAGTGAAGGAACTACAAGTTGCACAGGTGGTCTCGGAAGTGGATAATGTAGTTTCTCAGTTCGAACCCAGCTCTCGATTCGATTGCTGGCCAGCAAGACTCTGTAAATGTGAGCTCTCTGCCCCGCTTCTGGAGTGAACCAACTTGCTTAACACCTCACAACTCTTATTCTCAGCTGTGCCAGCTCTGTAAGTTCGGCATGTGTGCCACTAAGCCATCTGGGTGACTTCCCAGAGTGCCACATGCTCCTATCTAAGCCAGATGAGCTGAGTCTAAGCTAGTGCTGTTCCTGAGCAAGTGCTGAAGAAGTGCCAAAGCTGCATTGTCCGAAATGACCCCCTTTGCAGAGGCGTAGGCTCTACCTTCAAAAAGGAAAAACAATCCATGGCTCCCAAATGGAGTTGCTCAGTTGCATGAAAGCGTTTGTGAGGGCAGCTCACAAAGACACTTGTACATCATCTTTACTCCTGCTGCAGGCAATACAGTAAGAAATAGCTGAGAAGCAGCTGGAGGGGATGAAGAAATGTTGCTGTCTACTCGACTGAATAGAGAGTGTGTGGACATTTAGGTGTTATGCCATTATAACCATCAAACTCTTGTTACCCAAGAGTCTGTTTTGGTTTATGTGGTCTAGGCACAAAATTAAAAGGTCCATCCATCTCCCAAAGAGTTTGCCATTTAAACTGTGAGAAAAAACAAAATATTAAAGGAATAACAGAGAACATCAGAATCAAGCTGTAATACGAAGTGAGTGAAGGAGCAGTGCGCGTGGTCGATGCATGTGATGGCTGCTGCTGAGCCTGAACTTTTCAGTAATCCCGCTGGCCTTGGGTGTGTAGCCAACCCTGAGGAAATTTTTTTTAGTTCTCTGTTCTTGCAAGAGGCTTTTTATGAAACCAGTACTGTGGGCAGGGATTTTTGTCACAGCAACTGTCATGGCACAAGAAGGCCTATAATTAACCCGCGTTTTGTATCCCTTGAAGAGCCAATGATTGTCAGATTTGTAGCTGCAATATAGTGGAATGATGTCATATATGCTTAAAAATAAGAACACTTCATTCTCTGAGATGGCAAAGTAAAGTGATAAAGAGGGAAGGACTGAGAGGCATAGAAGCTTCAACATATTTTTTTCTTTTTAAGGAGGTATCAGCAAAGCAAGATAAAGTGGATCTATCCTTTGTCCGTATAGCAGTTTTTCAGAGACAACGCAGTCTTGTAAACCAGAATCAAAATGTTAACAGTAAGTGTGGTGCTGGTGTTTTTTGTGGTGTCTCTGCTCTTTATGCAGTTTTTGAAATTGCAATGGATGCGAAGACGATTTCCTCCTGGACCAACTCCATACCCCTTCTTTGGAAATCTGCTGCAGATGAACTTCCACATTCATCATGATATCCTTAAAAAAGTATGTATTTTCAGGCAACTAATTAATGGACTCATAAGCTGATTGAAAAGTAGATGTGAGTGTTTAACATAGACTTATTTTGAATGCTAGAGAGGACTTTATTCTAAATTGTATAAATGTAAAAAGAGGTGAGAATCATTAAAATATCTGTTTCTTGGTATGAAAATTTCCAGCTTACTATGGGACAGGTCATTAAAACCTTATGTGCATATGAACAAAACAATACTGATGATAACATTCTTGTCTTACACGTAGGAAAAAGAGACATTTTAAAGAAGAATCTTTAATTCTGTTCAGTCTTTTGCATGTCTATGTGTTGACTGTTGTTGCACTGCCAGTTTCTAAATATCCCATGAAATAGCTACTGAGTGCATATGTGTTTCCAGTATAGAAAAGATTAGGTTTTTTATACTTATTCAACAGATTTTTTTTTTTTTATCTTAAAATAAATTTTTTTCTGACATACAATTTGGTCAGATATTCGCAAGAGACTGATAGCCTTGTTTCAGACTTCTGAGCCTAACTGAGCTTTTAAGTAGCTGAACAAATTCATGGTGTTGGCTACATTCAGTCTCTTATTCTAAGTCCAGTTGTAATGCACAGCACTTTTAGAATTTGTATATTTATATTTCTCGCACATATATATTAAATATTTAACATTTAAATACATAAGTAATAACACCTCACTTGCACTCTTTATTCTCAACCTTCCTTTTCCCTGGTTCTTCCCTGTCCTCCCAGTTCTCTTCTCCCAAGTTGCATATTTCAAGGCAAAGTAGTATGACTCCATGACGTAAAATTATAGCCAGTGTCTGTCTGTTATGTTTTCTTTTGTTTCTGACCTCCCAAATCTGAAGAGTAGTATTGCTTATCCTAAGATTTCAAAAATAATAAATTAGTCCTTCCAAAAATGAAATTAAATACAAATGTGCAGGCACATGCATATACACATACATTTTTGCTCAACGTGCACATCTGCTCCCTCTTATTTGCTCCCAGGCAGCACAATTTTGTGCTCCTCTAGTCCTGCGGTTCTTGGGATGTTTTGGCAACTCCCCGCTCTTCACTCTGCCCCACAGACTTGCTACTTTGATCTACGCACAGTTGCGCTTCCCTCAGGCTTTTACTTTTTCAGTTCCCGATTCTCCAGCCAGGGAAAGGACTGTCCTGCCTACTTCTAGTGATGTCTGCGTGCACAGCACTGCGGAAACAAGGCTATCATGGCTAAGCTAGGAAGGAGAGGGGGATTTCTTCTTTACCCACCTCCACAGCTGCTTTTGCTATGCTTAATACACAAAGGAGAATGTAGGTAGTTCACGTAAAACTCATGAGCTAATGTTTTCTTCTTACAAACACATAAGAATTCACCTGCAATGGGTTTGAATTGTACGATATATAATAAATAACATCACGGACATTGGCAATATTGGCTATCTGACATTCTAGGAACATCCTGAACTTTAGTAAATGAGACTTTAGATAGAAACCTGACTTCAAGCTATATTGTATGTAAGCATGGGTTTGATACTCTTCTCAAGGTCAGTCACCCCTGGAGCATATGCCAAGGGAAAAGATCTGGTTCATCTTGTTTGTTTTAAAGGAACGAGTTCTCACCCATGTTGTTCTGATGTTGCTTCATTCTACAGATGGCCAAAATGTATGGCAATGTCTTCACCTTATGGGTTTCAAATATTCCTATTGTTGTCCTGCAAGGGTTTCAGGCAGTGAAGGGAGGTCTGACTGTCCATGCTGAAGACGTTGCTGGGAGGCCAACAAGCAATATCATTCACATTCTGAATCACGGAAATGGTAATTATTATTTTCACAAATTCTTTTAATGTGTACTAACCCTGGTTTTGGAAGCTGATTTAGACCCTCGAAGTTCTTAATTGACAGTGGAAAAAAGATTAATATTTTCCTGAGTTTTTATGAAACATTTCTTGATTCTGTCAGAAAAATAATGGCAGAATATAGCTGTTGTAAGAGTTTCTATACAGGAAACAGATGGCTAAACTAGAAGAAGAAAGGAAAGAGGTGTGCTGCCAGACTGCTGGCAAAAATTTGAAAAAATTAGAATGAAAGAGAAGCTTCTTTGACATATTAATGATATCAATTCATTAATTTATAAAGCATTAACAGCATTAGTTAATTATAATCCTAGGTATTATGTTCTCTAATGGTCATCTCTGGAAGCAGCAACGGCGTTTTGGACTTGCAGTGATGAGGAAAATGGGAGTGGGGAAAAAAGACCAGGAGCGTCAACTACAAGAGGAGGCCTGTCACCTGGTGGAATACTTAAAGAAAACAAATGGTATGTGACTCAGTGTGCAGGTCAGTGTGTGCAATGGGTGATTTTGCTGACAAGTGGGTCACCTGTAGCTTTTGAAACTAATTGATTACAAAAATGGATTTAAAGTGTACCCGTAGAGCAGAGTCTCAAAGGTCTGTATCATACGATCTGTACGTGACATTTCCTTGCAGAAGTGCTACATGTGACACCTCACAGTGTAGACTTAGAACTGAGACTCCGTGGTCCCTGGCTGTTACTACTTAGTCAGTTTTATATTACTTGTGGTCGCAGGATCAGAGTAACAGCGAACGGTAACAAAATAGGTATCCCAACACCCCACATCCCTCCGCAGAAAGGAGAAATAATGCTCGAAATACTAAAAGATTTGACCAAGACTGCACAACCCTATGGCTTTGCTCTGGCAGGTGGAGTGGAACAAGCCCACCTCACGCGGCTTGTGGGAGCCTTCTCAGTAAGAGAGGATGTTTGTCAAATTGTGCTGCTGAATAACCGGTTAAATCTATAGGTATGCTCAATTATTCTGTTATCCAGGTGTAAAGGACATGAGCAAAGAATAAAAGGTGGTTCTCTTTTCAGTTCAGCTGCTTATTCATACAATGTCTCAGCTGACCTTTTTTTTTGTACTCTGGTTATTGCTAAACATGAGATCTACTGATGCCAAGGTTCTGTGAAATAAGGGTATTTTTGTAAGACTACTACTACTAATTCCGTTCCCACCAAGACTTGGTATTATTAGTAGTCGTTACAAAAATGCCCTTGCCTTTTTTTAGCCAACAGTGTTTTTTAGATGTCTGAAGTTACTTTTTACTCATGCCTTTTACCAATAAATTGCAATTTGCCATCCAGCAATCTAAGTAATGTCAGAAGTGTCTATAAAATATTATCAGCTCTCCTTTCAGTGGGAAAAGCAGGAACAGTATTAATGGTGAATGCTTTTCACTGTGTTTACAGGAAAACCTCTGGACCCCTCTATGCCTGTCATGCGTGCTGTCGCAAATGTGATTTGTTCTGTCATTTTTGGACATCGCTTCTCTGAAGATGATGAAAATTTTCTCCACTTGATTCAGTCCGCTGATAATATAGGAGCATTTATTAACAGCATCTCTTTTTTTGTGAGAAAAATAGTTTTTTGTTTCTTTACTTTATATAGATAGACAACAAAAAAGATGACTTGCTTGTTACTTCTATAATAAATACTAGTGCACCTGGAATTGCTGGAGTATGCATGAGAACAGTGCTTCCAGATGCCTAGTTTGAAACTTGTTTCAATTGCTTATGCTTCATCACAGCGAAGAAGTTTCCCATGTCTTGTGAACAGGGATGGAGACACACAGGCCTTGCTGCATGCGTGGGAGATGTACGAAGGGCTTTCTTGCAAAAGTGCTACCTGTACAACTCCAGCGTTTGAAACTATAACTGAAACTTGGTAGTAAAATATAGGTTAAAATATCTGAAAAGCTCTGAAATAGGCTTATGTTAAATTCTATCTGACAAAGTAGCTTTCTTCACTGTAAGAAATCACATGACTGGCAACAAATGTCAAGAGTAATATGGGTTGTTACTGTTTCCTTCACCACTGTTAGCTAACTTCATGGAAACTGATGAAGAGCAACTGTTTCGTGTAAAGGTAACATATCATGAAATTGCTTTAATAGTAGCTTTTTCCTGTAGTTTTTGGCAGCAACACGTGTACTACCTCTGCATGTCCTTATGAGAATTCACTAATACACTCTGGAAGTCACTCTCCATTAGCTGCTGGATGATATTTGTCTTTATTCAAGACAGCAGCTCCTAACTTCACATCTAGTCCACTGGGCAGAAAAGACTGCAGCTGCAGAAACAGTGGAACAGATTGCCTCAAACAAGGGCAGTTATATCATTAGCCATTTATGAATGGGAACCGCAATACTGTGTATAGCCAAGAAGTCAATCTACCGAGGTTCCAGGCAGCCTGCTTCTGCAGAACTTGCTGGAACTCATCCAGCTTTGTATCTTGCATGATTTCCATCATCTCTTGCCAACAAGAAACTGCTGTAATCAAGGTCGTAGGGAATTTCAGGGCTAATCTGATGCTTTTGGTTTAAAAAAAAAAAAAAAAGTAAAATAAACCAAACCAAAACTACTTATGATTTTTTCTCCCAGAAAATGCAGGTGGATTCTTAAGCTGTCTTCTAATCAAGGTAAAGAGAGGATCAGCTATTTCCAGACTGTTCTTAGTAGGTATTTGTGTAAGGCGTTCTTAAAAACTCTTACTAGTGTGTCCACAGCTAAAAAAAATATTCTAGTCCAGTATTTCATTCTGTCCTCCTCTCCACAGTGCTTTCACAGTGATGTACAATCCTTTAATGACAGTCTGTACTGATCTGTTTTCCTGGTAAGTGGATAGGTAGTTTCAGCAAAATTATGCGGTAAGACGAAGAAGAAATATAAGTTAGGCATCTGAATAGGTTTGTGGGAAGAGAAATCTTTGTAATGCACCTGCCATCGAAATAGGTAAACTGGAAGGACATAGTGCAGTCTGCAAAAGGGGAAAAAAGAAAGGAAAATGAAATAGAGGAATGGAATGAATGTAAAAAGTGTTCTGTTTATTTCTGCTGAGATGTGGTTTTATAATGATATAAGTGCAAGAATGTGAATAGGTTTAGAACAATGAATAAACGGTAGGGAATCCACAGTGCTCAGTATTTCTATTTCATCAGGTTGTTTTGCATATCACACAGATGTGATATGTTTGCTTCTTATCTGTGAGAAAATGTATCTGAGTAAAATCCCCATACATTTGGTAGCCTACAGTAAGAAAATAAACCTGGGTTTGGATATGTCTATTTTCAGTTAACAGATGTGTCAAGGAAGTCAACCTGGATCTATTTTTTTAGTGATGAGAGAGAAATGATACGTGTGCTGGATAAACTGAGAACAGGGGCATGTTTTATATGAGGTCCTTGCTACTGAAGTTCAGCCTAACAAAGGATCAGGGTACAGAGGAACTTCATTTAGTCTCTATACATCACAATGGAAAATTTATAGCACAAAACTAAGTGAAATTCTGCTCCAGGGAAAAATGAGGTTAAGAAAGGCTTTAATGAATCATGGGATAGGTACTATCCCTTCAGTGTAATGGTGAACGTGCAGTCATCGAGGTCTTTCATTTGCTTTTTCCACTACCCAAAAGCCTGAATTAGGATTCAAATTTAGTTTGTTAATGTTAATAATATCATATATCTAAAATATCTCTTTTACAGATATGTGAAACGTTTCCCTGGTTTGCACATCATTTCCTAGCATCATTTAAACAGTTTGCATCCAACATAAAGTTTTTAAACACACTATTCACAAAGGAACTTGAAAGCCGCAAAGAAAAAGGAAAACCAGATGAAAATCAAGATTTTATTGATTACTATTTGGATGAGATAGATAAAGTGAGTATCTGAACTTTTCTTACACTCTGCTAACAACACGGAATTTTAAGGGCTCCTTTGATTATAACGATGTCTAATAGAAATTTAGAAGTACACAATTTAGAAAAACTTATAAGTAGATGAATTAAAAAAAGGTGACGCTAAGAAGATGGCAGGAGGAGGATGAAGTAATAACGTAAGTAGATTTATAGATAGGTTGTCTATAACTGCAATAATAACAGATCTGCTAATGGTTAAGGCATCCCTAGAAACAGCTCTTATGATGGGATTTGCAGCAGGATTAGAAAGCATGTACAATTAGTAACTTTGTCATGGCTGAAGAACAACATGTATGTGGAGATGACGAACTGACATATTTACTGGAGAATATTAGAAAATGTTTTCATGTTATTCAGAAAGTTTTGGTTTCTAGCCCTTTTTTTTTTTTCCATTTTGGATAGTAACAGTAAATATTCCTGTGATGGAAGGTGGTTTACTTCTTTTTTTTGTGTGTCTTAACTTGGTCTTTCCAATTCATATCTGCAGACTAAAGGAGATAGTCATGCTACTTATGATGAAGAAAACTTGATCCAGAGTGTTTTTGACCTCTTTCTGGCAGGTACAGAAACTACAGCCACCACCTTACGTTGGGCGTTGCTCTATATGGTGGTTTATCCTGATATTCAAGGTAAGCACTCCCAAACAGTTCTGCAACTTTTAAAAACTATACATGTTCAAATAGTTGTAGATCTTGTTCAAAGAATAGTAAAGGAGCTAATTAGTAGGGTATGAATCAGGTGAACTGCATGTATCTGTCTCTTGCTGTATCCTTTCTAACATAGAGGCCAGTCATTGTAGGTTTTGTTTTTAAGAGATCTATACAGAATGCAGGGTGTGATTCATTTGATCAGACAGAGCAGTCCAGTCTCAGATCAGACAAATTGCACTGCTGCCCCTCCACTGACAATAATGATGAGATTTTCACTGAGGACAAGATGGAGTCTTCAGGTCATCCTTTTCAGCTCATGGCTGCTCCTCTTTGATGTATGCCTGGCTTCTTTGCAGCAGAAATAATTTCAACGCCGTGAGAGGTTGCTAATATGTGTGGTTATTTCATGAAGCTTAAAACTTCAAACATAGATAGCTACATATAAATAGTTATTAAAAAAAAGATTGCGGGAGCAGCTTGAAACTGTATGCTTTTAATGATGATATTCACAGAAGAAAGATATAGGTTGGCAGAGTAAAACAAGTGAAAAGGAAGAGTCAGAGTGTACACGACAGAAAGGATTAAATGGTACACAAATCACTTCAAAGGCCTCATGTTTGAGAGTTTAAGCTGGGTACCAGGCATAGCAGGAGGCTGACAAAAAAACGTTGGAAGTGGTAAGGAAAAAGAATCTCCCTTTGTTGTTACCTAACAGTTCTTTAAAAGACCTAAAATTTGAGACTGGATTGCTCATACCGAGTTTTCACAATATGATCTTTCACCCTCTCAGGATATATTAAAACAGTCTTAAGTTTCCTGATGTATAGGGTCAATCTAATTGCAATGATAAAGGCTGTAGCATTAATCAGACCCGTTTCAGCTCAGAAATTAATCAGAAATTGCCATTTCAGTTCAGATTGTAAGTAAAAAAAAAAAAAAGTCCTTAAGAAAAATTAATTTGTGTAAGTGCTTCCCAAGGCAGGTAATTACAGAACAGCAGTTAGGCCATCTGTAGATGACAAGCAAAATCTGTGCAGTTCTGAGTGAAGAACAATCCTTGATCAGTTACTAAACTGGTCTCCTACTACACAATTAATATTTCATTTTCCAGTTGATTCCCTGCCTGTAAGAATAAATATTAATAAAAGTATTTTTATAAATTAATGCAGAGCAGTAAACGTAACAGGAAACTAAATATTCTTATAGAATGACTTTGCTACCATTATTTTTGAAATATTACTTGAGTATGCAACCTATAAACAACTTCAGCATCAAGTTTTATTTAGGTCATCAGTATGGCAATTTGAAGGCATTCTTATTTTATAAAATATCTTTTTCATCTTGTTGGATGTTATTGTTACTGTAAAAAGCAATAGAAAAAATTCTAAGTATAGAGTTTATAGATTGTTGTATATTTAAAGCCTGTTGTATATTCCTCCTTAGAGAAAGTCCAGAAGGAGCTGGATGCTGTTCTGGGTTGTTCCCATTTAATTTGCTACGAGGACAGAAAAAAGTTGCCCTATACAAATGCCGTAATTCACGAGATCCAGCGATACAGTAATATAGTCTTAGTAGCTCTTCCTAGACAGACCGTGAAGGACACAGAGCTGCTGGGATTTCCCATTCCAAAGGTACAAATATGCTGCATGTTTGAATATCTGATGTCTAGTACACTTGTACCAGTTTTTAAAACTGATTTAACATAACTTTTTAAAAACTTAAGCCCCCTAAGCTAGTGATTACTGAAACACTGTCCTTTTTTAGTTTCTTTTGATTTAATTGCTCGTTTAGTTGCAAAGCAACTGTGGTTGAGAACTGCTGATATCAGTAGGTCTTTGGTGCATCAGACGCAGTTAGAAAGGTTTTTGAGAGTTTTCCTGATTTGGGACATGAACTCTTGTGTCCCACTGGTTCTAGCAGTGCCCCTAAGCTACGGCTATCTCTGAGGCTGGCCTTTTGCAGGGAAACGTGCACTTTGTCCTAACCATTAGTTGGCTCTTAGATCAGTATTTCTCTTGACAGAAAACTTGTGAATGGTGACTGGAAATAAACATATTGATTTCCAGTAATCTTAGGTCTGTCCCTTGTCAAAATGGCTAATCCGCTGGTGAACAGAGGCCATCCAAAAATGGAAAAAAAGTTTTACAAAAAAACTTGGAAATTTGTAATTATTTTAATGTCACAAGATTTTAAACGCGATATCTTGCACATGTTATAATGAAACTAAGGTATTTTCAAGTTTTGTTAAGTGACAGGTACATTGGAACTTGTTTCTAAATATTCTCCCGTCACTGCTTTTCATGTTTCATTTTCATTCCTTTTTTCTGGATCTGTTCAAAGCAACTCTAGCATTGCAGAAATTATTGAGTAGCAAAGGGAAAAATTTAACTGATACTTTTGATGTCCTGTAACTCAAAAACTGAATAAGTAATAAAAATACTTAGTGACAATAGGAAAAATAAAAGCAACACATTTTAACAATATGAACATTAGAGAATCTTAACCATTTATTTTATTGAACTTATTGACAGCAAGTAATAAAGGAAAGGATGTTGCAACATTCTCAAAAATTTAAACATTTTATGAAATGTCTTAAAGCTTGATCTCATTTTTGAAAAAATGAGACTTTAAGCTGGGACTTGAAATTCTTTGCTTCTTTGTCATTATTTGCTTATCCAATGAATATGAACAACAAGACAGAACTGAAGCTGCTGCTCCTTTTTTCAGAACACCATAATTTTATCAAATATTGACTCTGTTCTATCTGATCCTGGAAAATGGGAGACACCTGATCAGTTCAACCCAGGCCACTTTCTGGATAAAGATGGAAACTTTGTAAACAGAGAAGCGTTCTTACCGTTTTCCATAGGTATGTGCACCGAACAGGGATTTATCTACTCCATGTGATAACAACTTGAGATCATTCATTCCCCAACATGACTGGGAAGGCATCTACAACTAGGTGTATAAACACACTCCGCTGTTTCAAAGATCTCCAGGAAGAGAGAAGTCCAACTGTATGTGGAAAAAATTGGAAGAGAAGGACTGACACATAGAAAAGTTTCTCTTGGAAGACAGATCCATTTTCTCTTGCAGGAGAGATCCAGTTATCAGAATAGTAGCAGCAAAATGCATAGTGCTAGGAAGACTGTAAATGTAAACTGTGCAGCCCTAGTAATCATTTGTATAATGTCTTGCTGCCTGCTGTCAGTATAGATTAAAACTTTCAATTTTTGGAAATACAAGCAGCCTTTCAGTTCTGAATCATCAAATGACCAAGTCAGCTAAGAGAAAAGGACAAAGCCTGCAGAAAACAAGCAGACAAACAAGGTCAGAAAGGGAGGTGTGACCGAAATCCTTTGGCTCACTGCCTTTTCTGTCTTTTCACAGGGCACCGTGTATGCATGGGGGAGCTGTTGGCTAGGATGGAGCTCTTTATTGTCTTCTCCACCCTGTTGCAGGCTTTCACGTTCACCCTGCCAGAAGGAGTGAAAGAAGTCAATACAAAGCTTGTTTTTGGGAGCACAATGAAGCCACCTCCCTACCAGCTCTGTGCCATTCCTCGGTAGGAAATGGTGCCCCGCAGATTCAGGGAAGACTTACTCTGTAAGATTGTTTCTGCGTGTGAATTTCTTTTTGCATGTCTGAAGATTTTTGCTTTCCTCTTGAGCTGGTTAATCATCACCCTGAAAAGATGCTTTTCATACAGTTGCATTCTGAGGATTGTACCTACAAAAAGTTAATCTTTTGTTCTTGTTTTCTGCTTGGAAAATCTTGGTAAATTTCTCCTGATGTGGAACAAATAAAGACATTAAGGGAATAATTAGAATTGGGCCTTATTTATTGCTAACTGGAGAGAAGATTGACAGAGAAATAACTTGAAGCAAAGTCTATAAATTAGAAGTCTCATGATTAAAGATCTGTGTATTCTTTCTCCTAAGCCACAGTTGCATTTGTGGAGATAGGCCTAGAGGTCTTTCAGTCTGTCTCAGGACGTTACTGGGTGCAGAAGTTAAAAGAAGCTCTTGGGAGAAGCTTCCTAGAGAGGCAGATAATATGATCTGAGATAACATTCTCTTAGACTGACCAGGTTTGTGCAAGCCTGTTGTGTACAACTCTATCATTGACACCTGGCAAGACAGTTCAGAGTTTCACCTACTAAAACGGTATTTCAGTCCTTCAGCTGAAAATAGAGGAATGGCTTCATCAGGCAGGTGTGGAAAGCTTTTCATAAAACAGGCAAGGAGCAAGGACTAGAAGACAAATGACAACAGGGAGCAGGCACAAAGTGTTGAGAAATTGTTCTTTTTTATGAGCCTACTGGTTGACAGCAACATGAGAGCGTGTCTTTTTCACAGCAGGTAGTCTTCTGGTGTTGTTTGCTCCAATTTATTCAGCTTTATTTATTCTTTCAGTTGTTTAATGGATTCTTTATCAGCTAGCTGACTTCATATCAGTCAGCGTAAATTAGCCTGTCGTGACCAACAGAAGATTTGGCACTATGGAAAACTACTGCAAGCCCTTTATGACCATGGTGCTTAAGGACTTGGCAAAAGTGGATATTCAACATTTTGCTAGTTCAGTTACCGACAAATCACAAGGGATTTTTTTGACAGCATTGGGAGTACATTCTTCCTGTATGACATACAAAGTGGATACTGTATGCCAACATATGAAGGATTATTTTTATATACTGATTAGCCGATAGTGCTGTCTGCGGGACTGAAGTCATTATCAGCTGTATTTGTTTCAGGTTCCTCTGCCTACCTTGTATTTTAAAGCACGCCAGTCTAACAGGCAGAGATGTGTGAACTGAGTAATCTCATACAGGATGAAACCTGGGTTGCCAGTTTCTTCTTCTCCAGGATTACCTTTATGGGATGGTTCAACCTTTTTCACTGCTGTGAGTTGGACAGCAGCGTGTCCAGACAAATAGGTCATTGGCATGAAGACCTCTCCATGCTAGAACTGCAAACATTCCCCCTGGCAGCAGCTCCACACTGCTAAGGGGATGCTTCACATGTATCTACGTAGATAGCAGGAGGAGAGGCAATAACAGCAGCAGTTCCTTGCTTTTAGCACCAAAGTTAAAAATAACTAATCCTAAAGAATAGATGGTAAAGAGCACTGAAGAAATGCTGCTGCTGGCTGCATTTAGTTATTGTGAAGAAAATGGAGCCTAAGCAACCTCATAAATACATTTTCCATCAAATAAAGTAAGATGAATCCCATGCCTCAGATCTAAAACAACCCACAGTCATCCTCATTTTCCAGTGTGAGAACACCATATTCCAGGTTAGCTCCAGCTGCACCACTGGTAAAAGTGCTCAAAAACAAGTGAGTGTTGAATTTATTAAGCGTCGACAAATTAGTTTCTTCCCACCTGTACAACACCTTGGTTCCCTCCAGAACCTCTGTCTCCTCTTCTTCCCCATTTTGTCTCACCTCTCCAAAGTGTCGTTACCTTCACAGTCTGTACCACCTATCTAACCTACCACATTTTCTCATTTATCCTAATTTTTTTGCTCTTCATATTTATTCTTGAGTGCAAGGCTGGCCCTTGACTATTCTTCCATCAGAAGACATCATCCAGTTTTGCAAGCTGGTAGAGAGAATAAGGTCACCCCCACTGTTCTAGAAGGACTGTTACAAGTGGCTAAAAGTACAGTTTTGAGCCCAGTCTCTAAACAAGTTATTAGAGGTCATTTGAGCATTAATGAGATTTTCTTTTCAGATTTTTTTTTTTTTTTTTTGTATAAGCCTTGAACATTTGAGCCTTAAGGTTCTGAGTATCTTACAAAATATTTCTAGGTAAACTGGAATGTAATCCTGCAGAGTCACCTAATATGAGATAAAAACACATCTGCACACTCATACACGGTGGTGATCAGTGGCGAGTGTCTGCTCATACTTTATATGGAAAACTTACATGTGCCAAATTAAGTGCTAACACTTCAGAGCGTGAAATTCAGTTTCGCATGTGCTTGCTGTGCAAGCCATTTCTAGCAGCTCCAAAGGAAGCTCTGCTCTCCTTTTAGAAAGGAGAGGAGAGGGTGAAATACTACTGCTCCAGCTCTCTTCATCCCTTTTCTAGGGCTAAGAGACAAATCCAGGAAAGAAATAGTCTAAACTACAGTCTTGGCTTTCCTGGGGAACTCCCTTTCAGTGCCAATTCCCTCGCTGTGTTTTCTGTTGGCTGCTGAAAGAGAGAGCAGCCAACTGAACTTACTACCAAAACTGTGGTGGCTTTGTTCTTCTGCCTTCAGGAGCTGATGCTATTTGTAGAAGAGCACAGAGCAAAGAGAGACTAACAGCTCAAGGTGGCTATATACTCAGCTTTTCTTGTAAATAACGTGAGTTTTCTAGGGTTTTTTACCCTGCCTTACCTGGTCCGGTAGAGTATGGGGTCCCCACCAAGCAAAAAAAAGTGCAGGACTGATGTGGAGCAGATATATAAGAAGGTACTGGCTATCCTATTCCCCAAAGATCACTGTACTCTCCTTGTCTCTTATTTCCAAAATCTACTTCAGCTGTTCTCTTGCTTTGTCTGCCTTCCTGCTTTCAATTTTTGCTGCAATTTTAGCTGCATTTGACTTCACTCTTTATCACAAAGGCTGATGTGAAATAAGCTTTCAAAGCACCACAGATAGGTTGTGTATGCTCTAGTGAATCCAGGTAGAGCTGAAGTACCTTGTGGTAATTTCCAAATGTATATGAAGTTGACTGATATAATAATATATAAGATCTCTTCACCATTTGCCTTTGGAGGAAGCCCTAGCCAATTTCTTGGAACATGGTAGAGAGTTCTACTCTGAACTGATGCACAAATCCTGAGAGAGGAAGAATGCATCTTTACTATCTCCTGTCTCCTAATGTAGCTGCTTCCTGCTTCAGCTCCTTTCTATTTAATGTGCTTTTTTACATTGTGTTTTCAACTCCTCTGCATGTTTCTCATTTCTTTTTGTTCCTTATACAATGTCCTCCATCTCCAAGTTTTTCTTTGGATATCTTCTAGGCCCATGCTGTCTACTCTTCCTTCTTATACTTTCATCACCCTCCACTTATTCTTCTCATCTCACCTCACCTCACTGCCGTCTATTGTAACATATATTTGGCAGATGTTCCTCATTCTAGTGTCTTCCATCTTCTCTCTGATTCTCTTTTGTATCCTCTTTCTGTTTTTACTCCTTTTCCTACACTATGCCGGTTTTTAAAAAAATACAGTTTCTTAAATTACATGCAGAGTAGCCATAGTTATGTTCTCTAACAGCTTTGCTTTGCATGCATCAAGATAAAAAGCTGATAATGATGGTATGGATTGCAGCCACTTCACCTCTACAAGCAGAAGATGTAGGGGAATAATGTCATGTTTGAAGAAAGCAGCCTGAGGCTTTATTGTCGCTAACAGCATTAAGAAAATACCGTTTGGAAAAAGGAGTGGATGTCAGGAAGCTTAAGGAGACAAGACCAAGTAAAGGATTGATAACACAGATATCAGCGTGGGTAAGTGTCGGCTTCTCCCTTCCTCTCTCTGGTAGACCGTTGCTAATAGGCTCTGCATTCATTTTGTTGTGAAAATCTGTTCAGGTTTGGAGAATGTAATCAGCATCAGAGTGCCACCATTTTTGTACATGAAACAAAAATTACTCCATCTTTGTTTCTAGTTTTCTGAATCTCAGGCCATGCTCCCAGGACCTTCTGCGTCCCTGGTGTTAGATGAGTCCCTGCAGCTGCTGTTGCTCCATCGTTTGGGAAACCTGTTGTTGTTCTGGGAGGGTTTTGGCTGTGTGCTGCAATGTCTGGGTTCTGCTAAAAGTAAAACTTCTGAAGAAGTTTACAACTAAAAAATCATCACTGGGGATGAGTTATTGTGTGGTCCGAGGAGCCGTACCATCCTAGAGAAACATTTGGGAAAAATTAAGTGGACCTCAGTGTTTCACACTTAAAAATCTGGTGGAAACAAAAACAATCCTGGGGAAAGCGGATATTGGAATTTAAACTGAGTCTTGTTGCCTGCCATAGAAATATGATATACATGATAGGATATAACATATATATTCTATTTAACTCCTGGATTGTTACTTGGTGGAGAGAAAGATGGGAATTTAATGTGGTTCCTCAGGAGGAGAGAGGTGGTGCTGGGTAAAGAGGAGATACAGAGGAAGTCCAGCTGAGTCCAGAGGGAAATGTGGTCTTTGAGCAGTGTGAGGGAGGACGGCAGAGGGGCCTGGTGATGCCATGCCACCGGCCGCCTCGTGCTGCGGCAGGGG